CTGACACATCCTTCCAACAGCACTCGACGCCATGGACCAGATGAAGAAGGCCTTCAAGGGTCTCTTCAGGGGCAAGAAGTCCAAGAAGGAGGAGCCAAAGCCCACGGCCACGGGTGAAGCCGCTGCTGCTACGCCTGCGCAGACCAAGCCCACCGAGACTACGCCAGCTGCCCCAGCTCCTGCGACTGCGCCCGAGCCCGCAAAGACCGAGACGACACCCGCGGCTACCAGCGCCGAGCCCGCTGCGCCAGTGCCAGCGCCTGCTGAGCCCGCTGCAGCTCCAGCTTCAGATCCAGCTCAGAGCGAGGTGAAGAAGGATGAAGCTGCGGCCCTGACTGAGGTCAAGAAGGCCACGTCCAGTAGGTTTACATCTCGTTCACACTCCAGTCCACTACCGTACCGCGGGAACGAAGCCTGCGATGGCTCTAGGCGGCGACAGAAGGTCGACCTAGACAACCAGTGGAACGGCCCCATCTAGGTGTGGGACTCTTGCACCAGATGGATGGCTATGTGTTAGCATCAGCGCACTTCCACCAGCACTTACGACTTCTGCGCGAGACGACATTTGTCTTGACTAGTATTTCTTGTATCTCTCTCATCGCTCGAGACTCCCAGACTAACGCATCATCTTCCAGCCCCCGAACCCATTGGTGCCGTCGCGCCCGCTCCCCCAACTGCTGCCGAATCTCAGCCCGCTGCCACCGAGGCCCCTAAGGACACTGAGGCCAAGGTCACCGATACACCTGCACCTGCGGCCCCCGTGGAAATGCCCGCCGTACCTACCAGCCAGCCCGCTGCCGGCATGAGCGCTACAAGCGGTCCCATGTTTGATGAGCCCAACTTTGGCGAGGACAAGGCTGCTGCGCCCGCTGCACCAGCTGCGGCACCAGCTCCCGTTGCGCAAGCTGAGGAGCCCGTCGCCCCTGCACCAACCCCTGCGGTTGCGGATCCTACTCCCGCTGCTCCTGCGCCTGCGCCTGTCGCTGAGCCTACCGCTACCACTGCTGCCCCAGCCGCCGCTGAGGAGAAGGCGGAGAAATAGAGAGCTTCCTTCTCGGCTTAAGAGAAGCCACTGGGCATCACCGCAGAGTTGAGGAGACGCCACATCAGAAATGGGTTAGAAAACTACAAAAAAAAAATTGTTTTGAATACAGCGGGCGAAGGGCGAGTGTCGGGCCAGGGTTTTCAGCATTGTCTCTTTCCACTAATACTATACCCCCACTGCTGTATCTTTCGACGGGTGTGTCGAGCTGTTGGCGAGTTTGAACTTGAATCGAAACAATTTCCATGATGATTGCAGCTCCTCTTGTCTAGTGAAAAGTAGACGAATCATCGTCATTGCATTGCCCAAAGCTCCCAACTAGCGCGGGGCAAATAGCAGCCGCGCTACACGTCAAGGCAAGCCCCACCACCGACGTCAACCAAGGGACGCGATAATTCACACTAGAAAGCTACTACTCTCCCGAACATTTCTACACGCCTGCGAAACAGCTCATCCACGAACGCGCAACCAACATCTCTCACATTCCCCTCACTCTACCAACACAGCAACATTGCGGCCATGCCCCCCAAAAGCGGCTTCTCGCGCACGCGCAACGTCGACTACGATGACGACGACATCTACGACGACGATGACGATTACTACGAGGAAGAAGAAGCCGGAGCTGGTGGAGCCGATGCAGGAGATGGCATGACAGAAGACGATAAAGAGCAGATGCGTGCAGATACCATAAGAGTACGCGAGGCGCTGGGGGATAAAAGCGACTTTACGAGCGACGAGCAGATACAAGAGGCGTTGTGGCATTATTACTATGATGTTGGGAAGAGTGTTAGTTATTTGAAGAATAAGCTGGGGGTGGGGGAACCGAGGGAGGAGAAGCCGAAGCAGGAGAAGGAGAAGGTTAAGCCGGTGTCGAGGTTCGATCAGGCTGCTAGTGTGGCGGAGGAGAAGGCGCCGGTTACGACAGGTAAGCACGCTCACTGCATTCGTCTCTTCACCTGCACTCCACTCTAGCTATGTAGACGCGTCTGCTGCCTCGCTGTCATCATCCACCGTTGCCTCAATCTCGATGCGATGCCTACCAACGCTGTCACAGACTTCTTCTGGGATGTGCCCTGGGGCAACGTACCACCCGAACGACTCGGCGTCATCACCGTTGATGCTCCGCACTACAAAGGCGGACTACTTGGGGGCTCCTCGAAGCTGGCTGCTCTTGCGGCGAAGCGCAGAAAGGAACGAGAAGACGCTGAAGCTGCTGCCTCGAAAGCCAACAATGACGCGGATTCGGCGATCGCCATGCTGGATAAGCTTTCGGTGAAGAACCAAGAGGGTGGCAATCCTTCTCTCGGCGGCACTGGTCCAGCTCGGCCTTCTCGATACCCTATCCGCAGACGGTCGCCATCGCCAGCACCAGAAGCCCCGAAAGAACCCGAGATAGAAGAGCCCCAAGCACCCCAGCCTGCCGTAGTCGTCGAATCCCCAGCTCAACGCGCCACCGCCTCCATGTTCGCTTCCACCCTTTGCGGTTCTGACGAGTCATCGAAACACCCCCAAGCACCGCTACAAGAGGTTCCACTACCCTTTGCTGCGTACAAATCGTATGATGGCACTGGTGCTTTTGCTGGGCCGAGTCCGGATGACATTGTGCGGGCAGCACAGGCAAAGGGCGCAGGTGGCGGACGTCACTAGATTTTGATACAACTTCTTTTTGAACATCTCTAAATCATACAGGAACAACACCAAAGAAGAAGAAAAAGCAGACCAACGGTGACCTGACCGAATCGGTCGAGAAGCTTACCGTGGCCGACGAACCGAGAGTGAAGAGCAAGAACCTGAACGTCGTGGATGAGTTTGAGAAGAGCGCCTCGAAGCGGTTGGCGAACTTTGTAGTACTTGGTGAGTAAAACGGCATCGTCGATGCTATCAAAATCTCATGTTAACTTCCCCAGGCCACGTTGATCACGGCAAGAGTACGCTCATGGGGCGGTTGCTCTACGATCTCAAAGTCATCGACCAGCGGTCAATAGACAAGTTACGGAAAGAAGCAGAAACCATCGGCAAATCTTCATTCGCGCTTGCTTGGGTCATGGACGAAACAAGCGAAGAGCGGAGTCGTGGTGTCACCGTTGACATTGCTACAAACTACTTCGAGACCGACAAGACCAAATTCACCATTCTGGACGCGCCCGGACACAAAGACTTCATCCCCAACATGATATCAGGTGCATCACAAGCCGACTTCCCCGTCCTGGTTATCGACGCAAGTACGAACAGCTTCGAGTCTGGTCTTAAGGGGCAAACCAAGGAACACATCTTGATAGCACGAAGTATGGGCATGCAACATATTATCGTGGCGGTGAACAAGATGGACACTGTCGGATGGTTGAGATCGCGCTTTGACGACATTTCGAAACGCATGACTGCCTTCCTCACCGAGGCCAGCTTCCTCGAAAAGCGAATTACCTTCATTCCGCTCGCAGGTCTCACGGGCGAGAACGTCGTCAAGAAGATCGAAAACTCCGCCGCCCACTGGTACACCGGCGAGACCCTGCTAGAAGCCCTTGAACGCATCGACCTCCCATCCCGAAACTTCACGAAGCCCCTCCGCCTCTCTGTCGCTGATGTCTTCCGCGGGGACATCCGCTCCCCACTCAGCATATCAGGCCGCATCGACGCCGGCACCCTGCAAGTAGGCGACGTCATCCTCGCCCTCCCCGCCAACGAAACCGCCACCATCAAATCAATCGAAGTACAAGATGCCCCAGTAGACTGGGCCGTATGCGGTCAAATCCCCACACTCCACCTCACAGACATCGACCCCGTCCACCTCCGCCAAGGCGACATCGTCTGCGCGCGCAGCGACCCCGTCAAACTCGTCAAAGCATTCACATCCAAGCTCCTTGCGTTCGAACACGTACTACCGATGCCTGTGGAGGTGTTTCGGAGTACGCTAAACTCGCCTGCAGGTATCAGGACGCTGAGTGCTAAGCTGAATAAGTTCACGGGTGAGGTTGTGAAGAAGAAGCCTAGGATTGTTAAGCCGGGTGAGGTGGCGAGGGTGGTGGTGCAGTTGGAGAGGGAGTTGCCGGTGGAGGAGGGGATGAGGGTTGTGCTTAGGGAGAGGGGGAGGACGGTGGGGGCGGGGTTGATGGAGAATGTTGCGTAGGTGGATACGAAGACGTTTGTCCGGTGGCATAATTCGACATGGAGTTCGCGGATGGAGGGATCCGATATCCTACAAAGGCTATGTTGTAATCCTACGAAACACAAAATCGACCCAATGACGACAACCTAATGAATGCCTTTCCCATCGCTGGGGCATCTTCTCTTCCCTTCCAGTATATGACTGCGTCTTCCCCGACAGTGCTCACCCGGGCATTCAATCGCCCGGTGAGCAAGCGTCCCGAGGTCACTCTGGTTGCGCTTGTAGCATGTGGGCAGCGGTGACGTGTGCTCTTCTTGATAAGGAAGTTCCATCGGGAAGCCGCGAACCTTGGAACTTTTCGCTTATGTGGGAGTTAGCCTTGCTGTCATTCCTCACCATTCATCAAGATAATTCGGGATCATTCTCCTACAACCTCTCATAACAAGACGCCCCCATCACAACACCTGCATCAATAACCGCCCACTGGAAGCCGGAGAGGCATCACGTACCTGGCACCAGACGTCGCTTCTAGTTCGAGCAGCTTCTCGGGGTGAGCGAGGCTGCTCGCTGCCACATTCATCGCTCGCACCTGCCTCCTGTCTAGTTGCTAACCCAACACGGCCAATGGTCTGCCTCAACGCTTCGCAATCGTCCGATACTACGTCAACGCTTGGTCATAGCGGTCGTAGCACCCGTCTCCGCATGTCTTTATCTGCAGGCTGGTTCTGGTTCTACTTCTCACCACCTCCACCCCCATCACAATTTTCGAATCCACCACTTGTTTCACATCCTTCACATCCACCACCTCGACTCGTTTCAAATCAATCACATCCCTCACAACCGCACAACTACGCAATGTCACCTCGTAAGAACGAAGGCATCAAGGGCAAGCGTACCAAGCGTACCAAGCGTACCAAAGTCACGCACACTCCAGTCTCGGATGCTGGCGAGTCCTCACGAGCCTCTACTCAGGACACTCAACCTGCATCGTAAGTACAAACTGATGCCCGGTCTCGATACCCGCTAACATCTTACAGACACAGCACTCTGGGAAAGAGGAACCGTCCCGTCGTCCCCGACTCTGATGATGAGTGGGTCACTGACGATGAGACCGAAGACGGAAGCGCCGTTCTATCGAATCCTACAACTGACTCGGATTTGGACGACAATGTCACCGTGCAGCCGCCCGGGCTGTCGCTATCAAATCACAGCGAGTCTGACATTGAGGCGAATTTGAGCGACGTCACTATGCAGCAATACTGGTTGTTGCTATCACATTACAGCGAGCCGGTCTCTGCATCTGTGAAATACCCGCCTACTTATGGAGAAATCCTCAAGACATTGGACCGGCTCTATCAAGATTACCCTTCCGTGCTCGAACGAGCGCACTCCGCCCCGCCTAATGACTTATTTGCGAAGTTGGAAGCCCTCTTCGCTGAGTCTGAAGCACTCATCGCTAAGCTTGAAGCCTTCGACGCTAAGCTTTATGGAGTGCAGGAGCAATACACGAAGACAATGGCCCGAAGGATGACGGTGTTCAATGAATTGGAACGCATCTCTGGACCGCGACCGTATGATGCTCACAATCTCAAACTGACGAGGTTCCTTACTCGTATTCACGATCGGCGAGCGAAGCTCCGGGATATGGAAGAGTCTCACCGGTGGGTCTGAGATTGAGGTGGATTCTTGCCGAGCTGACAAACGGAGACGAATGGAAACGCCGGTGTTATCAAATCATACATGTTCATCACGGTCCACATGGGTATCGCAGTCTATATGATTATCAAACTCAACATCAAAGCAACTAATGACATGATCTTCTATCATCTCAACCATCTCGACATCAATGCAAGAAAGCTACCAATCTATTTTGACCGATGTCCTTTGCCGTGCACGGGTGCTTGTGAAGGCGTAATCGTTACCGCGTCTCGACATAAGGAGATAGCAACGGGCTGTTCGGTTATGCTCGATGTTTACAAGATTAATTCGTAGTGATATATGCCGTCGCCAATACATGAGGGCGCTAGCCGTTGATATTCCACAAGTTATGTTGCCGACGTTGTTTCGACTATCATATATACGAACGCTGTCTGACGGATTTCGAGTCTACAGTGTGGTTGCGAACGCCGGATACTAAAGCTAGGTATTGGTTTACATCCTACAGCATTACTTGTAGATAACGCAAGACACATGGGAAGCCTGTGTAGTAGGCAGGGTTATAGACTGTCTTAACAATACATTGAAGATGCGGGTATGTTGCCATCATACTTCCGCGAAATCACGGGTGAGGGGCTTTGTGCTGGAGCGTGGATTGTTAGGACGCTTTGAGCTCGTTCGAGTCTTTGTTGTCCTAGCATAATAGTCGATGAGTGAAAGGCGCAAAGGAGGTGGGCGATTGTCTGCTAAGGACGCATAGTGAACAAAGACTTCAACATACATAGCAAGTGAGCCAGCATCCTCTTCATCGCAAGAGCAGGCTCAACGTATTGCGCACCCCAATATTCTTGCACAACAACTATCAATAGCTCCATCGTATACTCGCCATGGCAGACGAACGATCACCAGTTGCAGGGTTTTCGCACCAGGAGAACAACGGTTTCCTTCGTGTTGCTCCTACGCCAGACATGCCAGTAGACAAGCTACAGCGAACAAGTGCACAGCCTCCACCACCATCGAAAACCGGAAAAAGACCATTCGGAGGCGGCGAAATACTCGGAGAGCCTCTCATAAAACGATCTCGGGTGGATGAGAACGATGAAGCAAGGCGTTCCAAAGAGCGCAGACCAAGAGAACTAGACCCAGCGATGCTAACCAAGCACTTCACCATGGCCAACAAGAAAGAAATAGAAGAAGTAAAAGCACGTATCGCGACCGCAACGCCATCGAATCCAACTGGCATCCCGCCTCGCTCCACGCGTCACGCAGAGCCCGTGCCACTATCGATGACGACCGGAAAACCAATGGTATCGAAGTCATTGCGCGACGCACCTCCCCTTCCCAGAGACACGCCGTCTAAAGAACGCCGAGACGCCATGGCACCACCACCCAGAGAGAACACATCGAAGCCCCGTCAAGATCCCTCCGCTTACCAGCAAAAAAGAACGGCTGGCGCACATCGATCCACACCAACACCAACACCAGGTACAAAAGCCAACCCCATATCCTTCAGTTCCGGCCTGCACGCACTAGACCGCGAGTTTCGCTCTGGGTCAGGCTATTACTCCGAGCAGCAAGACGACGACGACGCACTCTCTCTTCTGTCATACTTATCCTTGAGTGAAGGACCGCGGGGGCCTGGTGCACGTCGGGGGCTAGGACAGGATGGTGCAGAGAAACGCTATGGGAAAGACTGTGACCACTACCAGCCGCCCCGCCGTACCACAAGGTCTGAGGAGAGGAGGAGGCGGGGGGCGTTGGATAGTGGGGAATTGGAGAGGATGGCGAGGAGACACCGGACGATGGGGATGGGGGGGAGTTGTGATGTTTCTCCGAGGTCAGGGGATGGGAGTAGGAGTCGCAGTCGCAGCCGTAGTCGGAGTAGGAGTAGGAGTCGGTCGAGGTCGTTGGTGAAGAGAGATGATAGATACAGAGGAGAAGGAGATCGTGCAGAAAAGCCACGGGGACGCTCTGCAAGGCTTGATCGCGCTTCATCGCGACGGCCCCCACCGGTGTCGCAACGGCCGCGTGAACAAAGTCCACCGCCTTCTGGGCAGGTCAGGAGGGAGGAGGGGGTGAGGAAGAGGCGAGAGCGTAGTCGTGGTGCAGACCGGCAGCGTAGTCGGGGGCGGGAAAGAAGTCCAGAGCGAAAACGAAGTAGACAACGTCATCGCAGCGCTTCACATGGCCGTGGTAAAGATTGCAGGCGTAGTCGAGATCGCCGTCACAGTCGAGACCGCCGTCATAGTCGAGACCGTCGCCCCAGTCCACACCATCACCACAAAAAACGCCGCAGCCGCAGCCACAGTCCCAAACCCTCCCAACCCTCCAAGCAACCCCGTTCAAACCCCCCACACCCACCACCTTCGCCTCCCTCCCCTTCTGACTCCTTCTTCGGCGCGGATGAAATACCCGAACCCCACGAGAGTCTCGGTGTGGACGAAGGCGAATACACACAAGAGCAGGAAATGGCGTTGTTTGATCTGGCCGTCACTGTGTATGTGCAGAGGGAGAGGGTGGCGGAGCTCATGTTGAATCGGACGAGGTTGCAGTTTGATTTGGATAATAGGAGGAAGAGGGAGGAGGGGGGTGGGGATGGGGATGGGGATGGTATTGGGGGTGAAGGGGAAGGAGAGAAGGATGGGGATGGTGATGGGGATGGGGAGAAGGATGGGGACGGTGACGGGGAAAGGGAGAAGCATGGAGGGGATGGAGCTGGGAAGGGTAATAAGGAGAGGAGTAGTAGAGAGAGGGGTAGTAAGGAGAAGGACGGTGGAGGGAGCAAGGAACGTTCATAAAGTGCATCCTATTCCGCTTACGGTAGTGGCCAGGTAGATGTATGATGGTGGCTCTATACTGCTAGACGGCGTGAATTCAAGCCTTGGTTGGGTATAATCATTCATGAGTCATGTGTCCTCCTCCACATACTTTCTTTGCTCATGTTATCTCATCTCTTATTCGCCCAAGGTGCTTTCGTACCCTCTTGTGCATTTCCCGTATCCGCGGAGTTTCCCTTTGCCCATGGTGCTGCAGTACGACTGCCCGGTGGCGGCGGTGCAGGCGTTCGACTCGCCCAGGGTGCTTTCGTAGGTTGATTCGGACCACTGGGTACGCCCGCATCTGCACCTCTGGCATTAGCCCAGGGCGCAGCAGTCGCAGCTGGCATGCCACCACCCGGCGCTCTAGTACCGGCACCAGCCCCTGCAGTAGCCCACGGCGCAGCGGTCCCCACCATACCGCCAGGCACACCTCTGGTTGGCATGCCAGTCGCTGGCTCAGCCATCGGGTCTCTTAACGCGGGCTGCGGTCTTGCAGTTGGTGCCGTGTTAGAAGGGGTACTTGACTTTGGCTGACTGGCTGTGTGGACGCTTGCTTGAATGGCCTTGGCGTTCGGATCGGCAGAGAAGGAGAACAGCGAGCCGAAGGGGAAGTGCTGAACCACAGGGAACTTGGATAGTACTTCTGCGTTGTACATTTTGATCATTCCCTGATGTTGGGGTCAGTCGATGCACGCAATCAAGGGTGTCGCAGTACTCACCTTGTTTATCTTGGCCCATCCTGCCTTGACGCCGGAGACATCGTAGAGAATGTTGCTGTGTTCCCAGAATGGACCCTTTTTCACGTCGTAGATGAAGCCAATGGCACTGAAGTACATATTCCGGTTTCGCTCGCGGGCGACTGCGGGTGCTTTTGCTACGTCGCCTGGGTGGGGAGCGGATGGCAATGAGCCTTCTGCTGCCACGTCTGCTGGTGTGTTGATGGCTGGGGAGAGTTGCGCGCTGCCGAATATATATGGTACAAAAGAATGATCGTCTAGTCCCCATACACCATGTGATCCGGCTGGTTCAAGGGTGTATGTCAAGATAAGTCGGCGAATCAATTCGAGGTACGGTTCGATGACCCCAAGTACAATGCCGCGTTCTTGCTCACCGTCCTGCGACGCGGGAAAAGCTCCGAGTTTCCAGAGACAGCCGAGGAAAGCGAGGAAACTCAGTTCGTGACCTGAACCGTAGTCTAGGCGCTGAGAGCTTCCAAAACTGCCGATGAGATACGCTTCCAACTCGGTCTTGGCTGAGACGTCGGATGAGGATTTGAAGGACAGTACTTCTTCCGGCAGATACTGATCCAACAGTCCAGGGACTCGTTCTCTGACGATATCGTACCACGTCCTGAAGCTCACGTTTCCGAAACGACGCGGTCCGGGATCTGGTGGCGCTTCATCCATTATCGATTGGAGGGTATTGATAAGCTTGGCGAGGCTCTGCACAGCGGGTGGATGGGGCACATCCGGGTCATGCAACTTCCACTCTTTCGCCGCTTCTGTGCTGTTCTTATCTTCGCTCTTGATCTTCCGTGGTATCATGGCCGTGTTGAGCTGGAAGATGAAAGTCATGATATCGGCATAGGCTCTGCTAGCCAAGAAGAAAGTGACGTCGTCGCCATCGTGGATGCGTTTCGCAGGGACTTGGAAACTGTGCGATGCATCTCTACTCAGTACTTCGAGTACAGGTGCTTTGGATGGATTTGAGGACATGGCGGGGTATGTGATGTGGTGGTTGTTTGGGGGTTAGTGGGCAGGGACGATCTCATGTGATAGCGTGTTTCGGGGATGGGCCCACTCTTTCGCGCCTTGACAGCGTTGGATGCTTTTGGCCGCGGGAATGACTTCACTCTCCCCCCACATCGCCGTCATCGCTCGGATACCTTCATTAGCACGGATGCGCTAGTATTATTGACGCTCACTATATGGCGCGGCTTAAGGATGCGCCCAAGCAGGCAGGTACGTGGTGTCGCAGCTGCCGTCGAGCTGGCGGGTAGACGCGCGAAGCTCTCCAACATGCCCACCAGCTTCCATCCGAGCTTATATAAGCTGACACCCATAATACAGCTCCAAGGCCCTCCTCGCCCTCCTCAGACGACAATGCTGCAACCCAACAGCTCCTCGCAGAGTCCAACTCTCCAAGCGCAAACCCACCCTCTTCGTCGGCAGTCCTCGGCGCCAACCTCCTCAATGCAGCGCGTCCCGGAAAGCTCAAACGAGTCAGCATACTGCCCGAAGGGGCCAGACAGAACCTCGCGATACGGGGTGACCCATACGAGATTGAGTTGAGCCCTGAGAAGGGTCGATACGCGTTGCCGGAAAAGGTCAATCATAAGCCTTTGAAGATCAATAGGAAGAGGAAGGAGAAAAAGAAGCCAGCCAAGAAGAAGGTGCAGGCCACTGTGGAGACAGTCGAGGAACGAAGTGACGTCCCTGCGCCTTCGTCAGAGCTCCCGGTGCACAATGACGCTCGGCCGCAAGTGGATGAAGATGAGCGGGTGGAGGATTTGGCAGTAGCAGAACCCGAAATACGTTCCTCGCCGCCGGAGCTCGCACCGCCGGAATACACCCCATCTAAAGCCGCCCCGCCCATACGCGACACCGGCGTGGTCGATCCCACTGGTACGACAAGCCTAGATGGAGAACCTGCTGGTGCACAGGACGACAGTAGCAGGACACGACGAACGTTGAAACGGAAGTCAGAGTCGGACCACAACGAGGAACAGACCTCCAAGTTTCCGAGGAAACAAAGGCGGACGACTGGCGAATCGAGCGCATCGAGAAAGAGTCACCCACAAGTACGCATACCGGTCCGGCGCAGCTCGCAACAGCAGGACGTAGCCACTGCGACCGGACATGACGATGTTCAAAGCACGCGAGAAGGCGCCGAACGGACTTACGCGCAGAGAGAGGAGTTTCTCCTAAGACTTATTAATGGTCCTGCACGAAAATTGAAGCCTCGGAAGAACCGTACCAACGGCACTGCTGAGTCTAGCCAGCAGCTACCAGCTAACGAGAGAGGATTGCAAAAGCGCGCAGAGCCGCCCAAGCAAGCTCCGGAAGTTGCTGATGTTCCAGAAACTGAGCACGCGCCTGTTATTGACGCGTTCGGGGACGATTCATCCGACGACGAGGCTAGTAGCGTCGCTGAGGAAGCTGACAATATAACGCGCCCTGCAGGAAGGCCTGGGAACATCGACGCCGTCTTTGAGTTCCTCAACCTAGAGGTACGGCCAGGAAAGTGCCGGACCAAGCTGGCTACCACCATCAGACGCGCATGTAAGACATACAGAGCCCACCTTCAGGAAGGTGACCTCTCCTTGGACACTGTCGTCGATGAAGCCGACGATTTACGAGGAGCGCTCGGACAGATCAGTATCGATATCGAAAAGAAGGACCAGCGCGCCTTCAAACGAGATGCTTATCGTCATGTCTTCCGGGCTCTTACATTGTATCTCGAATCATTGTATACGTGGCTACAGGACAATGGCGGTGAAGTGACCGAGTCTCTGGAGGCTATGAAGGTTCTATCACCCCTGATGGACCGGATACTGGCTTTCAAAGACAGCATTACTGAGTGGAATGTTTCTGTGCCTCAACGCTCCAAGAGCGATCGGCTCATCAAGGACGTTGATATTGGTCTCATTGCTCACCTCCGACAAGTTGCTAAGACGTATCGCGGACATCTTAGTAGACTCAAGGCCAGGGAGGAACATCGCAAGATCCAAGAAGACTTCGAGCGCAGAATGCAAGAAAGAGAGGAGGAGGAGAACCGCAAACTCGAACTTGAGGAAGCGCGAACGCAGCGGTGGAAACGTTGGCAAGCTCTGCACATCGTGCGCCTGACGTGCGAGCCCGATGCGCGCAGAAGAAGCAAGCTGGCTATCACAAGACTCGAAGACCTGGAGGAGAGAGACGCTAACGGCGTTGTCTTTGAGCGATTGCCAGTATTCACATCTCGCTCCGCGCCGCCGCATCGTCAAGCATCGGCGTTGAGCAATAAGCCGGAGTGGACCGAACGGGAAGAGACTGCTCTGCTCGAAGGTTTAAGACATCTTGCTGGTACGTTGAAAGTCACTGCTCACGGCTCATCGTCATCATACTAATGTGTACCCTAGGTCCTCAGGTCTTCGAGAAGATATTCACAACGTATTGCCAGCCCGACTCATCTCATCCACTTAGCGGCCATTTGCGCGATCGCAGCGTCGCGGAGATTGTCACAAAAGCAGCACAGTTCCGGTCAGATTTCCAGAAATTATTTCAAAATAACGGCTGGGAGATCGAGGAATGGATTACGAAGATACCAGTATTGCCGTAAGTGCGGGTTACTTGGATGCTTTGATCCACCTCTGCTCCACAAGCGATTCTGACCCTTTCCTGCTTGGCGAAAAGAGGCGTTTTATCAAGTTGCGCTATTTGTTGCTTGTCTCTCTATGATACCCCTCGTGTGCTACATTTCTTTGATGCCAATGCAAACAGCATCGTTGGCGCCTATGTCTCCACCAGCCCTGATAGTGGCCGTCCATCTACCACATCCCCCTGTGCTCCATATTCAACATTACCACACAATATCGCACCCGATACTATGCGATAAGTACAGTTGCCACTGCATATCTAGTGAAAGCACGGGTCTACCCTTACCCTCGTGGGGTACGTGGCCAGATCACTGGCCGTGAATGACAATTACGCGAATGCTCAACCGCCCACCGGTAGACATAGACTTTGGTACTGGTAATCTGCCTCCACTTCTCCACTCGCTATCGCACACCTATACACGAAGCGCAATATTCAACCTGGATCAATTTTCACCTTGGAGTTCAGTGCACGCGCCTCTGCACCGCCCATAGTCGTAAAGTCGCACTCTCACTTTAAAATTCCTTGCACACCCTTTCTCCCTCCTGACTACTCAACCCGCCTCTCACTTTCAAAGAACCAACCGCGACCAAACACCTCACCTTGAATTCCCCAAATTCAAGTCAACAATCTCGACCACACACGCAATACTTACTACAACACAACATCACCATCCCACAATGTCTCCCCCCACTGCGGCTTCTTCGCCCTTCTCCCACGCAGCCAGCCTCGCCCACTACGAAACCAAGAACTCGTTCGAGCTCATGGTCATGGCGAAGCTGCGTTGCATTTCTGATGCGGGTGAGAACCAGGAGATTATCGCGCGGCTGATGGCGCAGGATAGGGAGAATGGGACGTGGCCTGGGAAGTACGAGGAGTCTGGGGCGGCTGCTGCGATGAAGACTGATGGAGTGGCTGAGAAGGAGGATGGGGAAGAGGTGGTTGTGGTGCCGGTCGAGAGAGTCTTGGGGAAGGAAGAGAGGACGCCTGAGGCTGGAGTTGGGGGTGCGGGAAGGGCGGATCACGTGCCTGTTGCGATTGTCTCCGGAGATAGACGCGCGAGGACTGCGACTGCCAGCACCACTGCGACTAGCACGAGGAGCAGAAGTCCGATAATCCCCCTGTCACAACTGGCACAAGAGTGGGATCAGGATTGGGGCGCACCTTTCGCTTTTCCCCTCGCCGCCACCACCGGCTCGAAACCCCAAGCGAAGCCCCAAGCCAAACCCGCAACTCCCACCGAGTCTGTCTCCAGTGGCTCAAAGTCACCCGCCACTCCCACCTCTCCCGTCTCGCAAACCTCTCCTGTCTCACAAGCTTCTCGCCCGTCCCTGGCAACTCCTGCCTCGTCCCCTCCAACCATCCCGGCTTCGTTGAAGTCGAATCCGTATAACCTTCTCATGAGCGATGAGCAGGACGATGAAGAAAAAGAGGACGAAGAAGAAGAAGAAGAGGAGGAAAGCGAGAACGAGGGGCTAATCATCCCCCTGAAGATGTACACGGAGAAGGCCAGGGCTGCCGCCGAGTCTACAAGGGCTGAGGTCACGGATGCGGCAACGTCCAGTAAGAATACTGCCGCCGCTCCTACGGGGCAGCCTGAGAATCTCCCGGCTCCCGATTCGTTGGCCAGTTCCGAGCCGTCTGAGGTTATGTCGGCGTCTGGGGGAGGTGGGATTCCTGAGGCTCCTGTTGTTGTCAGGGACTTTGGTGCTATGATCTCGCCCGAGTCCTCGTCATCGCGGTCACTGTCGCCCGAAGAGGCAGCCCACAAGGCCGACGTAGCTGCCTTCTACAACATGCCTCCCCTCTCGCCCGTCCGACCAGCGACATCAACGAAGAACGCGCCCGTACAGGTCTTCGTCAGCGCTCCTCCATCGCCGCCGTCATCGCCACCACAGTATACTCATACCGTCCCGTCCTCTCCCGTGCCCACCAAAACGACTCACCAGCCGCGTAACGAGAAGCGCAAACAAGACCAGGCTGTCGTGTCGACGAATATGTGGGACGCGCTGGCGACTGACGATACCGGTGATGCTGATGACACCGCTTCTACTCCTGTTGCTGTTGACACCGATGATGAGCGTGATGGCGATAGCGACGTAGAGACCACTCCTGTCCCAGGGACGCAGAAAAAGAAGAACAGGAGGCGCGGAAAGAAGGGTGGGAAGAAAGTGCAGGCGATGAAGCAGAAGGTGGATCAGGCTGTGGAGGTTCCTGTTGTTGTTGCGCCTGTTCTCCAGCGGTCGGTGGCGATGACGGCGAAGGTGGGGAAGAAGATGGAGATGTCGCATGCGCTGGGTGTCGCGGCTATTGTTATGGTTCTTGTTGCGCTTTTGGGGGTACGGGTTATTGGGTAGACATGAGTGCACGCCATTTCTCGTGAGCTTTAGCGGCATTACTTGGAGTATTGGGGTATCTACCAAGACACGGTATTTTGCGACGTATTCTGGGGTTCTGGTTGTGTTAGCATAGTAATTTTAGACACTCCTCATGATCGTTTGTGTGCGCTTTGTTGCTACGAGCGGCTTCACGCCACTTCATCCGAGTCGAATCAAAATCGGAACTCATCATCCAACTCCTACCGCTCCGCATGGTGAGCTCCTAGAACTGTGTCTCGAGGCTTCTGTGAATGCGAACGCGAACATGTACTTGCGTCGAATGCGACGGAATGGAAGTAAGAAGCCCATCACCGTATCCACCTGGGCGGTGTAAGCTTAATCAAGCGCGCGTAGCCAGGAAATCCTGTCTCGTGTTGCGCGAATAATCAGAAAAGGGTGAGGATTCTAAACGTAAAGTCTTCCGTTCCTGGACTCGCCCTGGACGACATGGCTACGGCTGAATGGAATGCACTAGCACCACACGTCGTGGCCCTTTTGCGGTCATTTGAACTGCCGTGGACACCCTCAAGGCCGTCACCAAGCAGTCATCCCACAGGTTCCGCAAGCCATCGCGAGCTACGCGCGACAACGCCTGCATCACAACCAGCAAAGCCCACGAGCATACCATGTGAAATAACACCCCCACCGTGCAAGCGATCGCGCACCTGCATACACGCAAATCAACCAACCAATAACAAGCTTTCACGCAGCGGGAGGGGTCCGCGCTAGTCCGCAGCCAGAAGCTTGTAAAGCACCGCCTTCCCACAACCACGACATCATCACAATGCGCGAATTATCCCCCCCTTGGCGCACGCCGGCGAAGCAAGTAAAATGTAGCCCATCCTACTTTCACGTGCGGTTTCGTCGCCGCAATAGGCAAAACCAGGCCCACGATGGCAGTGGCTGAGCAACACCGCTGATCGCGAGATAAATCCCTCATACAATTATTTCGCTGGGCCTTTGTACCCAGGCCGTATTGCGCTGTAGCTCACGTGTTTTCTGGGTGATTCTGCAGTTCCTCTTCTTCTCCTTCTTATTCCATTCCCAATACACTGGTAACTTTCTGTACTCTCGACTTTGAACACGAAAGAGTTATTTTCTTCCTTTCGCTTACTTCGCCCTTGCGCTTTCGTTGCGTTACTGCACGTAGCGATAATCCCTCAGTGTGTCACTGCGGACTGAGCGCATAGCGACAAAGGCAATATGTGGAAGCCGCCAATCAACTTCATTACGCTGCATTGTAAGTTGCAGACGGTTCCGTCTGATCCGGGAGCGGCATGGCTAACGGGGTGTAGATGCATACATTCTCAGTTTCGGGATTCTGGCCCTGATCATCATCTATCCCTATGGCAATCTCTCGGCTATCGATGCGTACTACTTTGGTGTCAGCGCGTCGACGGAATCTGGCTTGAACCCGTATGTTTGGGTTGATGTACTGGGATGGATGCCGTGCTGACAGTGCGTTAGTGTTGATGTCAAGGCTCTCAAGACATATCAGCAGATCTTTGTTTACATCACGCCTATCGTTACAAATCTGGGCTTCATCAACGTACTCGTCGTCGTTGTGCGACTACGCTGGTTCAAGCAGAAGCTCAAGGGCATTGGTATGTTAGATGTCGCTCTAAGCCTGCAGCTGAAGCTAACCCTCAATAGCGGCGGCACACAGTAGACCCAAAAGCTTGCAGCTGTCTATGAGTCGGGCTCAAACAATCGACAATACCGCCGATACACGAAAGATCGAGGAGGGTCTCACCGGCGAGACCACAGTCTCGGAAAAGCAGCCTGTTGCCACTGCAGATGAGTCAAACGACCAACCGTTCGCTCCTGCTCCTCGCATCACATTCGCCCCAGATCCTCGACCTCATGTCAACGAAAAGGGCGCTTTGTATGTCCCTGGTCCACGAGAACGCGATAATGGCGAACATATCACTTCGCTGTCAGATGGTAAGCTCGCTCGGATCTTCGTGAAGGCATGCCTAACATGATCGCTACAGACGAAGACGAAGACGAAGATGAAGACCGCATCAAGCCCGTCGCAGAGTCGAGCAACCCACTGCGTCGCCTGCGGTCAGAGACAAGAAGTATGAACACGCGTACCATGAGCAAGGCTACCTCCGTAGACCGCGCTGTATCCTCCATCTTCGTCCTTGGAAGTACCGCAAGCGGCGCCCGTCGTAGCGAAGACAAGCCGGCACGCAGGACGCCCACCATCGATCTGAGCTCCATGACCCGGGAAGAATTGGGAGGTGTTGAGTACCGCGCGCTGCAGGTCCTGCTCAAGGTTACTATTGGTATGTAGAAAGAGCGATGTGTCTGGCGCACTCATGCTGACTGTCATTCCAGGATACTTTGTCGGCCTACACACCCTCGGAGTCGTTTGCTTACTCCCATGGATCCACACCGCACCAGCCAAGTATCAAGACTACCTCGCATCACAGGGTCAAGATAAGACGTGGTGGTATGCTTCACCTCCTCCCCTACCGCATCGCTATCTCTAACATCTCCCAGGGCGTTCTACTCCGCCCAAACCATGGTCGACAACCTCGGCCTAACCCTCACACCCGATAGCATGGTAACCTTCCGCGACGCCACCTGGCCCATGCTAGTAATGTCCTTCCTCGCCTTCGCCGGCAACACATTCTACCCCGTCTTCCTACGCCTGCTCATCTGGTCCATCTACAAAATCGCACCCGCCGCTTCTTCCCTCAAAGAATCCCTGCGCTTCCTCCTCGACCACCCGCGCCGATGCTACACCCTCCTCTTCCCCAGCACCGCCACCTGGATCCTCGCCTCCATCCTCTTTGCCCTAAACTTCATCGACACCCTCCTAATCATCGTCCTCGATCTGGACAACCCCGAAGTAAACAGCCTACCAGTCGGTCCCCGCATCCTCGCCGCCATCTTCCAATCCGCATCTTCGCGCCACACCGGTACCGCGACTTTCAACCTCGCAGCCGTCAATCCAGCCGTTCAGTTCAGTCTGCTAGTCATGATGTACATCTCCATCTACCCCATCGCCATCAGCATACGTATGAGCGAGAGCTACGAGGAGAAATCCGTGGGGCTCTACGCCGGAGATGAGAATCTCGATGAGCAGAAGGGAGGCAAGACGTACCTGATTAGCCACATGCGGAACCAACTCAGTTTCGATTTGTGGTATATCTTCCTGGGGGTTTTCATGATTTGTATTGCGGAGAGTGATAGGATTATGAGTCAGGAGGATTATGTAAGTTGGTCAGATCCGCGAAGCGGGTTTCTTGGTTGTTGGGAACGGTATACTAACGATGTGAACAGGCTTTCAACGTCTTCGCCATCTTCTTCGAAGTCGTATCTGCGTACGGTAACGTCGGTCTTTCACTCGGTCACCCGTCGAATCTCACGTCGCTGTCTGGCCACTTCAACACGTTTGGCAAAGTGGTGATTTGCTTCATGATGCTGCGGGGTAGACATCGCGGTCTGCCTTATGCGCTTGATCGGGCGATCAATTTGCCTCATGACCTCATTACGGAGGATGGACAGGAGGACAAGTATAGAGATGAGGATGCCACGACTGCTGGGGGTGTTAGTGGGAGTGCGAGTGAAAGTGAGGGGAGGGAGAGGAAGATGATGAAGAGTTTTACGCAGTAAAAGCGACGTGGACATTTTCATATAGAGGGGATTGAGTGGGCTTGTTGTAGAGAATAGACCACGATGCATTTGATAAGCATATTCACAGGAGTCGCCCGAATTGAGATGTGAGGTTTACGTTTGACTGATGATACTTTGACCGCATATAGCTGACTATCTTATCACAGAACTACAAAGCAACGATACGGTGAAGTACGAAGGAGCTAATACAAGCCCAACCCACCTATCTTTTAGATAAGACATATGAGAAAGAAAGACGAGGGTCTACGAGGATTTCGCATCGACAGCCGCTTCCCGCTCACAAAAGCCTACCAGTTCATCCAATCAAACCCCCCATTCTGAAAGTTACTCCCCATCTGCGGCCTCCGCTGAGTCCCCAGATGCGCTCCATACTCACCATCGCTACCCATCCGGCGCGGCGCCTCGCGGCCCTCACTCCCACGCACTGCGCTACTACGATACAAACCGCCACCACCGTAACCACCAGAAGTAGATGGCCGCTCGTACCCACGATCAATACTAAAGCTAGTTTGTTGAGGCTCGCGGAAACTAGACGCGTACGACGGTGTGGCGTATGAAGAGGAAGTGCGGGAGGAAGAAGAGGAAGTGCTGGGCCTACCCATGCTGGCGAGGAGACGACGAGTAGTTGAGGGTTGCTCGAAACGAGATGAACCTAGAGGGCTGACGGAGCGATGGTCGTCGTATGAATGCTTGTTAGTGTATGCGCGGGGCCGCTCGGAAGCGCGCATTGGGCTGAGGTCGCGGTACTGGTACCGGCTATCGTAGGGGTCGCGCTGGGATGCAGCGCGGCTGAGTCTAGAACTACCGGTTGTCTCACGGCGAGGTTGGCTGGTGTAGTCGCCGTAAGGCTGGGAGAAGGGCTCGGTCATTCGGCTTGAGCTGGAGGAGCCGTAGGCGTAGGGGTCACGGCTGGAGGATGAGTAGTCGGAGCGGCGCGTGGAACGGCTGGAGCTAAAAGGGTTGTCTCCGCCGAAGAAGGATCCGAAGGGCATGTTGGTTGGTGTGTTTAGTGTTGCCTGGTTTGTTGTGCTGTTGGAATGGCGGGATGAAGACTGTGTTGGTCTCCAAGCTGAATTTGTATGTGTGTGTGCGAGATGTTGATGTAATGCCGTCGACTAGGGGCCAGATTGGGAACTCTTTTAAACACTTCGATCCGTCGCCAGTCGTGACGAGACAGTGCGAATGAGACCATGGTGTTGATGAACGATATACTGGGTCAGCATGTAGTGTCGGAGAACGTGCGGCGAAGTGCTAGATCGATGTGTGGTGTGAGTGTATGTTACTGAAGTATTGTGAATGAAGGGTGTATATAGTGAATTGACGGCGGGGATGAAGCAGTACCGGCGTGAAGACGCGGTTATGTACTAGAAGGCCAGAGAAGCTGTCTCAGCGATAGAGTATTGACTGGGTAGTTGCGCATCGGATCAGTCTTTTGTTTCGCAAGGTTGTGGTAAATCATCCATAGAATACAAGACGCGATCTATCCTCGCACGTCGACCTAGGAAAACACGAAATAGGTCTGCACCCTATATTGACATTGAAACATGCAAAGTAGGTGACCTGACGTCAACGTAGGCTCCAGACCTGTTCAGTGTACCATAAAAGAAGACCATCGACCCCGATAGTCTTGATGAGCGATAAATAAAGCTAGCAGAAATACTAGACTTCGTATCAGTGACAGCCTCTCGACTCTGCAATGTATCGTTCTCACCTAAAAGAGCAATAACCGCCATGATACCGAATGATCGACCGGAGTGGGGTTGAGAGATGTCTGCTTTTGTTTCGACGGGCAAGCAAGACGATTTTACGCCGCTTTCACTTCGAATCTCGGCGGCACTGTCAATCCTCTGGAGCGATCCGGATGTCTTGCCCGAAGCTGGGTTGTCGTCGGACAAGCTCTCCTTAGCGCCTGCCTGGGCCGTTGCAGTTAGGTCTGCGGCTTTCTCGTTGCTAGCAAATTCTAGATGCGCCTGTTCAATGAGTCCAAGAACTTCCGTCTCGTTCTCGAGATTCCACAACTTCACCAGCTTCTCCAATGAACCCCTCCCAGGGGAACGATTGATTAAGATATCGCTAGCTGTTCCAGCTTTGGGCAGCCCGATATATTCCACCAGTGCATGCTTACCCTGCACCTTAACCGCCAAACATATTTGTGTCTCTCCCATAACCATGTTGCTGCTGACCGACACTTCCGTGGTGTGGACACCCTTTTCTTTGTATCGCTTCAGGAATAGTACGATCAGCTGACCTATGGCACGAGACCACGATGGCTCACTATGCCGCGTGGAGCACGCACAATTCATGAGGAGTCTAGGCCACAAGAAAAGTGCGGAAGGTGAGGCGTTGTCGTACAAGAGTAGCTCGAAGCAGATCACGATTGTCTTGAGATCTTCAGTTCTTTCGATCTTTGACAGGCTGTGAATCAAGCAATGTAGAACGATACCAGCCAGCTGATCCGACAGGGGTGGTTCGTGAGACCTTGTGATCCGCCAGACTATGTATGCGGCGTTACCAAGCCAGGCCGAAATTGAAACCGGAGTAGTGAGCGGGATTCTCACATGGGTCATCCAAGCTTCGAAAGAACCATTCGTTTCTTGAGCTTTCAAGACAAAGAATTCATAATCGATGTCCAGAACATATTGCCTAGAAGGGGGGAGTTTGTTCTCCAGCCAACCTGGGAATTTTCGTGAGACCGCAGCCTCCAATCCCACGAGGAATTCGAAGTGCAACCTGTCTTTGCCAGCGCGGAACCGCAGATCCATGAGATTACCGTACAAATATGACCAGTACAGCGGTTCGATCAGAGAACAAGGCGTGGCTTCAAACTCTGCCAAATGCAATTGAGAGATGGCTTCGATAACATCGAATCCGGCTAGTTGGTCCGTCGTGGTTTCAAGAACCGCCGGGCGTTCAAGGAACTCAACAATAGTTCGATGAACGAATAGGATGCATCTCGACCCGGCTGGCTTAGAAGTGTTGGGGTACGTTTCGTGATTTTTGGGCCACTTGTCCCTGTCCCAACGATTGGTACGCCCGTCGTGCAAGACATCTTTTACTTTGTGGACTTCAGGCGTGGGCCGATCCTCGACTAGTCCCTTACAATAGCCTTGTAGCAGTGTGCGAGCTTTTTTTATCTGCGATTCGTACCATGTATGCGGGTCGAATCCGTCCTGGGTGCTCAGCTTGGGTGATGTAGAAGGTTCCTTCATTGCTAATTGTCCATATGCCTGATATGCGTCTATGTGTAGACAAGACAGTAGTGACAGCCTGTGTGGTAAATTCTCGTGTTCCTGTACCATAGCAAAGATCTGATACGCTCTTTTTCGCTGCGATTTCTGTATGGATTTGAGAAGGTGCTCGAACAATTCTTCCAGCTCGGAAGGCAGCGTCGCCAACTCCTCCTCGAAAGACGATGTGTCGCGACCATCTTCCAAAGCTTGGCGGAGTTGCTTGATGACGAGAACAACCCAGAGAAATATACCGTCCGATCTGTCGACGATGTCGTGTGTGAGGCGCTCCCGAACGGCGGCTTCATGTATAGATCCGAGCTTGGACCGTGTGAAACACTCCATGTCGTGCCTAGTCAGTTCCTGTAACCGGATCCTTGGGCCATCGGCGAATGCGTTCACGAACACATTATGTTCTCGACTGGATACGCATAGCTTGATGGTGTTCGGTGAAGTTTGGACCCAAGAGCGAAGTGCGTCGACCATGTACCTATCAACGCGCTGGGGAGAATCTTCAAACTCGTCCAAGGCATCGATGAAGAAACAGAACCGATAAGATCTCTGAACAGCCTCGTCATTAAGGAGAGCTAACAGGGCATCGAGAGGAGTTTTTTGTAGAGGCATCGGGATTATGGACTCGTTGAACCTGTCGTTCTCCGTCATGCGCGCCCAGGCACCTGGGAACGCGATCTTGATCAATTCGGGATTGGCCTCCAAAAGATCAAAAAGAAGTGTTCGCATCATTCCATTGAATGACTTCTGTAACGACTGTTTTCCAGGTTTCCAGAAAAAGTGGTTGATCACGACAAGTTTCGCTTCACCTACAAATCGTCAGCTTACCACTGTCTCGATTTTGAGTGATTACAAACCTGCCCACTTTGAGAGTTGCTTTTGTGTCTCAGGATGATCGAACAGGAATTTCATGAGTGTGGACTTCCCGGATCCTAGCTTCCCAGCGACATGAAATATACCACGGCCTCTGGAAAGCCATGATAAATAAAGCTCACGTGCGTTGCTTGCCAGAGTAGTGTCATCTACCTCGGCATTTGGGTCCACAATCCATCGAAACGTATCGCAATGCTCCTCTTGTATGGTTTCGGCCCTTGTCCGCATCTCATCGAAGGCGAGTGAAAACAAAATATTATGTGCTGCTTTTCCTTCTAAAGTCAATCTGGTCAGTCCCAGAAGGGTTTTAATCTGATCTTGGGCCTCGACACTCAGTGAAGCAACACATGTACCTTGACGGAGTCGTTTCATCTGCTGTTCCATCGTTCTCAGCATACCATCGTTCGTATGCGCAAGCGTTGCAAGAGCGTGAAGTTGCCCTTGCACTTCCAAACTGTTGTCATATCAGAAAATGATCTTAACACCGATGTCTCAATGTTGACTAACCTGGTCAATTTGCTGAACTGTAGATGCAGCTGGTCACGGCATTTTGCTAGCTTGTCCTCGAGTTCTCTCATTTCGTCCTTGTACTTGATAGTTCTAATTGCTGATCGAATCGAACGAAGGGTTGAGTTCGGCTTGCTGGGGGCAATCTTCTTCAGAAGGCGGAGGATCTGGTCTGACAACTCGTGACATTCTTGAGCTAACCGACGGAGGGCCTTTTCGTCGTCGCTTCTCGCCTTCGTGGTGGGTGGGTCCAGCCTCGACGTGAGATCGCGCATCTCGATGGTAACTTCTTCCAAGCTCTTGTTCTCCACCGTCATGCCGCTGGCAGAGTCGCGCATTTCCTTCGCAGAGCCGATAAGCTTTGCGCCGAGGTCGAGGAATTGAACGATATTGGCAATCAAGCCAATCGCTGTCAAGGCTTCCATGGTGGATGGTGTGCGAAATCCAGGGTTCCATGTGTGAGGCCAAAATCTGAGCTGGAACGGAATATTAGGGAGCAACCCAGTCTCCAACTCCGGGACAAAAGGCTACAGCTCTGGTGAGCTGAGAGTACACAGTGGGTGTCAAGACTCGAAGACACTTGGAACGGGAACTGGAAGGCGCGCAACGCAACCCCTCATTGTACCACCCATGGCGAAGCTGTGCCGCAACCATGCAGACATCCAATGTGAGCGCGTCGATCAGCGCTGTCGTCCAATCTATGCACGGTAATGGAGGCTGTGTAGGAGAAACCTGTATGGTGACGCATACGAAAAGTGAGTGGAGGGGTTAAAGTGAGTGCAGGCTGCAGGTGGAACGGGAAGGTACCACCCACTAGCTTGCGTGGGGTCGCAACATCACTGTGCTGTTCTGCCTGTAAATTGCCTTGAACCATCACAATAACCATGCGGTTATGACCAGGTCTCGAGTGAAGAACATAGGGCGAAAACCCTCTAGTTCGATACGGCCGCTCCTTGCGCATGTACATGATCTACACGATCTACACGTTTCCAGTGTCCTCACCTATCGCACCTCTGGTATCTTCCTGAGCACAATCAGGTAGCCGGCGGCGTAACCAGCCCATCGCACTCCTTCGCTTCCACCTGGGTATCATCCTCCTTCTCTATCCGTCTCGACTTCGCACCGATCGCACCGCCAGGGTGGTTCGTCCTAAACACAGCCTTTGTCTCATCTTGATGTAGCGCCTCCGCGACAGTCAACGCCAGCATATCGCCCACAGCAATGGTGACAGTGGTGCTGGTCGTCGGCGCGCAGACGCCAAACGAGACCTCCTCCAACTCATGTATGGGCGCAGGCAGCAGTATGGAGTTCGGCCGGTCGTCGAGCAGCGGGCAGTCTGAGGGTTTCGTATGCGATGTGATGGCGAGGATGGGCGTGTGGGGAGGTATGTGTTCGAGGAGGGCCATGAGCTCTGCTGTCTTGCCAGAGTAGGAGATGAACATGATTGCGTCGTTCTACTTCTAGTCAGTACATTTCTCATCTTTGGGGCTTTGGGATGAAACCCACCTTCCTGATGTCACCGAGATCCCCGTGCAGTGCCTCAGCAGCATGCATGAAGGAGCTCGCTATGCCTAGACTCTTCATCGTCGCGACCATCTTGCGCCCCACCAAGCCGCTTTTGCCCACTCCGCATATTATGAGTTTACCGCCAGTCTGGCTGGTCTTCGTAATGACTTCGACAGCCTGGAGGAGACCATCGCGCGCCACATGGTCGGACTCATAGAGAAAAGTGACCTGCGAGAGCGCGGTGGCAGCAGTCGAAAGAACGTGGACGGCGCGCGAGAGCAGACGCGATCCTTCAGAGTCGCTTGCGGCTAACGGCGGGGTAAGAGGTTGGGTATCAGAACCCGCTCGTTTTCTCTTGAGTGATGCTGGCGGGGACGATGTGCGTGATAGTGGAGAGGTCTCAAATGTCGCGGTCATGTTGGTGTGAAATGTGGAAGATCGGCGGACGTGACGTGAACGCAGGGTCAACTGCTGCTGTATATCAACAGGGCCCTGGCGATCTATGCGACAGGTCTACACATGCGCGATCTAGATTAGTCTTCCTCGGGCAGCATCGGAGGCGGATCCCAGTTTAGTAGGCGTAATACACTTATCGATGTAGCAGCGCGACGCGACACAACCACCAGACGGAGTTGCAACAAGCCCTGGAGGGCCTGATAGCCCCTCCATGATGACAATTCGTCCCATGCCGGCTCGAAACAGGCTTCAGGCCTCGTCCGCTTACTCGGAACATACCAGAAGGCCGAGGGCGCGAGCCAGACCAGTAGTCTAATGGTGATAAAGAAAAATGGATGGCGATATCTACGCTAGAGATGACATGCATGCAGCATGGGCCCGCGACTAGTCCGGAAGCAAAGATAGCCGTTGTCATCAGTCGAGACCAACCATCAAACCACGTTTCTGTCACTGTAGCGTCTGATCGCGAGGAATAGTCGTCCATGTTTAAGGTAGGGAACTGCATACGTGCGTAGACGGCAAACCACTAGGTCCCGCTATGCTGAGGGCGGAGCGCCCGCTGCTTCGGTGAGTTTTGCCCGCCGAGCCCCCATACAAACCAGCCCCTCCTCCACCCCGTCAAGCTTTGTCATGCCCAATTCCTTCCTGTACAGCGCTTGCGCTTGCTCGCCGCCGGTCAAGAGGACCATCCACCGGAGGTTTTCCATTCCGGCGCAGATCTCGCGACAGCATGCGATGAGCCACTTGCCGAGTCCTTGGCCCTGGTGTTCGGGGACGAGGTAGACGTCTGTGAGGTAGGCGAGCGTCGTGTAGTCGGTAATGCAGCGCGCCATCCCAATAGGCTTCTTGATGCCGTCCGAAACAGAGTATACACCGAGAGTGAGACTGTTGTCAAGCATGGTCGACAAGTCCGTGAAAGAGAGCGGTTTCGCCCAAAACATCGCGTCTGTCGCGTAGGCTTCCTGGACGAAGGTGTACGGAAGGAGCGACCGGTCGGAGGATATGAGGTAGGTGCCCGAAGCGACAGTGCGCTTCCATTGGAAGGTTTTTGAGTCCATCTTGTGCTTGGATTGATGATTTAGAGTGTGTGGTTGCAGATGTTGGCGAGCAGCTTCCCAAATTACCTTTTGAGTCAACAGGTCCTGTGTTCGGAGATATTCGCGACCCCTCGCGCCCTAGACGCCGACACCACCCAACCACCATGCGACAACGCGACGACTTCACCTCCATTCTCCGTGCTGAACCTGGAACATATGGCATGCGCAAATGGATGCCGCGATGCAAAAGCGAGGAGGTAGTCACCGCGACTGCCGTGTTCAAATGGCGGCACTTATATGAGGAAGGTGCATACATGCGCGTACACCGTCGAGATCATGAGAACAAGTAGTTGATTGCACGCTACATATAGCATACGCCCGTTCAATTGCGCTTACCCAGTCACTTGCAGTAAGTTGCGAGGATGTTTACTCCCAGTCGCATCATGACCACCTGCAGTCACGTGTCGATCACGCCCCTGTTCGTGGTCAGTAAGGCTCTTCAATACCAGTCGAATCTACCCACAATCACGGCCTTCGCAATGCGCCATCAGCGTGTCTTTCCAAATTTCTCGGTCCAGAGTGGCGGGAGTGACGCGAAAGTCTTCATACCCATCCAGCGCCCCATACAATTCATAGCCAGCTTCGATCAGCTGCCGCATCAGAGAAAATAGCTCGCTCACGCGTTCGGAGAGGAGGCACATGGTGAATTCCTCGTCATACGTGTACTCACCTGGGCCATAAATGTAATCTACTCGCAGGTGGAAAACGATCGATGCGCCAGGCGCGAGCTTGAATAGGCATTGTCGGAGTGGAGTGGCGTCGTCTTCGTCGAATTGTTCGCACAACTCGACCTCGACATGGCGCAGCAGACGATTGCCTTCCAGACCGAGACCCCAGATATCAGTCTCGAAGAACTCAGCGACCTCCGTAGGTGTGAGATATAGCCACAATCTGGTATGATAATACCAGCGACGTGCAAACTCGCTCATAGTGTCCAGATCAACAAATTTCTCGCTACACATATGCGCGTATCCGTATCCGCGTTCCTCGGCGTAACCCGCAATAATGTCCCGGTATGGCTCGTCGACGATTTCGAAGTAATCGTTGTTGATGAAAATCGGTTCATCTCGAGCAGGGGAGAGGATGTGGTCGTATATCATGTCCCGGAGCTTGCGGGGAAGCTTATGTTGCATGGCGGTACACAATGCCCGACAGGACTGCTGCGCGTAATGTTCGATATGGGCATCGGCGAAGTCTTCGTATTCTGACTGCGTACGATCCAGACTTGCGATTTGGGACGCCGTGAGTAGTGGGCTGTTCTTGTTCAGAACATGGTCGATAAGTGCGCAATATCTGAGTGTGCTGGTCCTCATATTAGCACTGAACAGCCACTCCATCAATGACCCAGGTGTCTACATTGCCTTCAGGGTTATCGCGACTTTCATTTTTGTTCCCATGTATGCTGCAGCTCACCTGTTCAGATTTTTGTATGAGGCTTTTGAGATGACTTACATGTACACGTTTTCACGAGTCAAATCGACTGTGTAAGCCATATTGCTTTCGCTTTTGGGGGGCTTAGATGGTGGGGTTGAAGTTCTAAGAGATTTGGTTGGGTTGAATCAGGTCTGCAGGCTACATTAAGCCAAGACCTTGGAAAGTAGGTTACCTAATGTTAACGTAGGCTCTAGGCTGTTTGGGTTTTTTCTAGGTTGGCGTGACTGACCTGTAATCCACATATTTCACTCCGTAGGTTGAGTCTCTGGCCCGTGTGTTCTTTCCCTTCACATGCACTTTGGATGACTGATCGCAACGCCGCGTTGAGAAGATCACCCACCCCTCAGCCCCTACAGTCTCAACTACCCGCCCCGGCCTTTCTTCAACCACTTTTTCGACTTACCAGTTATCCAGCCACCACCATGGAGGTGCGCACTCCGCCCGCTGTGGGATTCTTTCTCGACCGTGGATTCGTTTCCCAGTAAGTTCCGTCCGGAGTCTACGAATCTAGCAGCAGCTAATAATTGCAGTGCTCTCAGGCACATTCACATTCTGAAGCACATCGAAGCACCCGACCGAGCTAAGCTCAATCGCACAAGGCCTCATCAAAAGCGTAGTAATCTTACCTTGAAGACCCGACAACGATTCCAAAATCTCAAGCAAAAGCTGGCCAAACTCACGGCAAAACTAGACCAGCTCGAGAACGTTCTCCAACAGTACTTAGAGGATTTCACGGCTTACCGTCAGCGAATTGTTCTGGAACTACTACAGACGGAGTTTGCCCGAGAACTTCGCGATGAGGTATACGGCTATATGATAGGCGGCGACCAGTTGGCGATCAGTATCAATCATCACGACCTGGTGGCGTCCGCCTCGCCAGCATTCGCCATCCCAGGTCACACGAGCGCAAGTCGTTCGAAGCACTTCCAGACGTCACTCACACGCAATGGCTACGGCCACCTACTCGAGGCGAGGGCAATACTCAAAGACACGATGCTGGAGCTAGCTCACGCATGGTACAGGCTCTCCACGTTTCGCTTCATGCAAGCCATCCACGTCGATCTATTTCTCAGAACCGACTTTCATGGCTTCGGCCTCGATACGCAGAAGCTGATCCGGAGCATTGAGGGTAAAGTAGCCGCCACGGATAGCTCTCAGGTTATTTTGCTAACTTTTTACTAGTATGTATTCTCCTTGCTACGCTTTAGCTAAGGCAATTTCAGACATCTTATTATTTGTATTCTCAAAATTCATTTTGTTATCGGTGCTAACAGCTTGATAGCTATTCACCCCTGTCATCTCGTCAGGCGATTGTGACAAACTCGCTAAAGATCTGGCTGAGCTTTACACGCTCAAGACTGGTGCCAACGTTCTGCTCAGCTTCCAGGCTATACCGACAGACGCAGTGTTCAGGGCAATGGCAGACCCCAGCGCAGCAGTCCCGCCTCGAGATCTCGCACTTCTCTTTCCAGGCATTCAGAACTTGATTGCAGCCGAATACCGTGTCACGGTGAAGCTGGGCTACCACTTGAAGTTTAAGGTTGCAAGCGAGGAGCTGACGGAAGAGTGTTGGAAGGAGAAAATCGAGGATAATGACAAAGTAAGTCACATGGTGTGGGGACAGACACTCGCTAAATTCGTCCCAGGCCATACTTGCGAAACGCGCCCTCCGTGAATGAGCGGCCAGTGATGACTCTGATTCGTCTGAGGAGTTTCTTGAGTAAGCATTGTAGACTACAGGGTGATGGAAGAGGAAAATGTGCAGGTAATAGCGTGTGTTGGAGATGACATGGCGATGCAAGGGTGCGGCGGAGAAGATAGGAAGTCCCTGAGACGCTCCAGACGTGTTGAATTTGGGTAATTACACGAGGGATAATGAAGCTTGTAGACTTCCAAACGAATAGAACTCACGATAAACCAGGCCCTCCGCCTACCTGCGGCCTCCAGGCGTGATTATCATGGTTTTTAGGTACAGATTAGTCCGTTTGTATTCTCCAATCGAAGTAGTGGCGCTGTCTCCTCGCCGGTTGATAAGCCAGTATCTTCTCCACCCACAAATCATAGGTGATCTCTTCCTCTTTATTGACGGAGAACTCCAAACCATCATCCACCTTGAACACCAAACGGAGCCCAGCTGCACATAGCTTCTTGAATGTGTCGAAGAGTCCGCTCTCCAGATCCTTAACAAACTCCAATTTCTCGGGTACGCCGCGCTCCCAAAGAATGCGTTTATCTCGTGCCCACAAGGCCACCTCCATAATGCCGTGTGAAAATGCGCTCCGGCGGGACCTGCTTCTAGTTGTTCGGCTGCTGATAATCCCGAGTCTAATCGTGGTACCCCGATTGAACTGCAGTAACTGTTCCAATCGGTGGCGCAGCAGTGGCAGTTGCCATGGCGGTACACCATGGCGATCTCGCTCGACGAAAGCCATGGACATCTTGAATTGAACATTCCTGATATGGTCGCGTGGCACAATGCCCAGCTGCCAGCGATCTTGGGTAGCGAGATCGGCGACGAGAGATAAGTCATCCGGTTCCCAGATGGCGAAGGTATTGACTCTGTACCAGTGCTCCACAAGTTCAACCAAGAAATTGTGGCCGACACGCTCGCACAGCCAGATGTCCGATAGATCCAACCGCGAACATTGCAAATCGAATGTCCAACGTTCACGGTTTTGTATAGACAAACAGGCTCTTCCGCGTTTACCCACGTATGTACTGCCTTGGCCATAGTCGTTGTAGTGAAGGTGGTCGTGATCTACAATCCCAACCAGCCTAACGGTACCCGGTTCAACAAGATATCCGTATATCTGGTCCCGAATCTCTCGCGCTGTAATCTTCTCGAGAAGTCCATGACATACAGAACGACGTACTTCTCTGTTGTAGTTGGACTTGGAAAAGATGCGTTTCCTCTTCAGTCCCTCAAGGTAGATTTTGGGAGAAAGAGACTCCGCGTAGCTCTTCCAGGTTTCCCAGGCGACGCGTATATCGTAGGCGTAAGGAGTGGAAGCAAGGCGATCTTTTCCACGCGATAGTGCTTGGACAATAAGGGGTGCTCGTTCTTTATCGTGGACTAAGGTCTTGATCCTCTTCGTGGATGGCGCTAGTTTGGCCCAGTCTCTTGGAATCATCAGTAAGGAAAGCTGTATCTCACTTAAGGTTTGCCTTACTTGTCAAGCATATCATGAACTCGCTTGAGGGTTCCAGCCGGCGGTATTGGATTCTCTGGATGAGGTGTCGCCATGGTCCAGAGATGTTGTTGTTTGAGCAACTCGTGTTGCGCGCAAGTGAACTTCGTAACATACATATTCACACTCATACCGGGTTGCGGCGCAACTTCGGAAATGACGAGTTGGCTCATCGATCGGGTTTTGTGGTAGCATCACGCTATACAAGAAGAGAATTATAACCCTCTGAGAAGCCTACATCACCTTGGAGTTTGGCTACTCCTTTTCTTCTATACTGATATAGACAGTAGCGCACCTGTTTGGGATCCCTCTGAGATAGGTAAGATGGCGTTGTCGGTCCGATCGCTCGGTGTGGACGCGCAACACGTTGAGCAACACTGGCTCGAATTCGTGAGTGTCGCGACACCAACCGTTGTGTCCGGGTTGCCCAGATGCAACTAGGCATCGTGTTTGGAGGTGATTGAACGCGTGATCACGTGAACTGTCATCGCCAAGGATACTCCCGAGGTCCCATGATCGGCACGATGGGCAGCCGACACGAACGACGTGGTATTTGGCTGGACGATCGCATTCTCCGCCGAAGTAGGACTGCTTCATGCGCGGCTGTTGTCACCTGGCTGATGGAGGGCCGAAGAGAGCTTTGCGAAGAGGATTAAGGATGGTTGGAGACGTGCATGTGAAAGCATCGGTCTCAAACTTTCAGGGGCGATGACGCCATCGCAGGGGAGTCGCACCCCATCGCGCCTGCACCACGCGTCTTTCAATAATTCTCACGACCTCACTTCACCACCATTACAGTGCATTGTCGCATTGATCAGACATTATTCATCATTATGCTGTTTAACTAGCTTTTACTTTCTTCTATTGATCCATCTATATGGAGATCCACCTTCCCATCCAGGTGTCCACGATCTGCTTCGCCTCGTCGACCAGACCCATGTCCAGCAGCAGTTGCGAAGTGCCGCGCACGGCGGAGTCAAGTGCTGAGAAGATCCAAGCGTGTGTGTAGCTGGTGTGCTCACCGATGAAGATGGTTTGGGCTTCGGTCTTGTAGTAGGCGGGCAGGAACAGATCCTGCTGGCCAACGAATGGGGAGGCCCAAGCACCGGCTTGGTGCTCGTCGGTCTCCCAGCACTGGCGCTCGTATGCACCAGTCCACTGCTCGGAAGCCACATCGCCATGAATCTCCACCATCGCCCGCTGGACCATTGCTACGTGGTCTTCTTCGCTGAGCGCACCCACCGAGCGCGCCAGGGTACCAGAGATGTACGATCCAAGGATGACACCGGGCCCAGTTGAGTTGACCTTGTACGCGGGGTAGCAAACGCTGCCGATACCTGCGATGTCGACTGAGCCGCAGCCACCGATGATGGGCTCTGGGAGGTGTTCCCAGAATCGAGTCTTGTAGTGCAGAGAGACCTTGCAGGACTGCTGGTAGTTCATCTCGCTGATGGCGCGCGACAGAAGCGAGGAGTACTGGGGGAGATCCCATAGCCTGACCTTGGAGAAAGGCACCGCAACGACTGCGTAGTCGTATTCCTCACTCTCCGGCTCCATGGCGAAAGGATCTTGGCGCCATTGGACAGCGATCTTGCCGGTGCTCTCATCGTGCTTCAGGCCGGTCACCTTGCGTCCCAGAGTCAGACGATCCTGAACGTGGGGGTAGAAAGCACGCGGCAATGACTCCAGACCCTTGTCAATGGTTCGCCAATCCGTGGCTTTGAAGTATACAGTGTCGTATTCCCAGATCGGAGCGTCGGCGTTGCCAGTGATGTAGTCCACAACATCATCGCTGGCGTTCAGTGCGTACTTGATGTACGCAGCCTCAGACCAATGGAAGAGACCCTTGTCGACGGCATTCTTGTGGGCCTTGAAGACATTGGTGGCGATCTCACGCTCGACTTCCGGTGTGTATCCAACGAATTCTTCGTATGCCTCCTCCGCCTTCTCCACGGCCTCCTCGTCTGGGCCCTCGGCTGCTGGCAATGTGTAGGCCGTTGCGTTGCTCTTGATCTGCGCTGCGCTAGGAATACGGCCGTTTGGCAGACGGTACCCATTCGAGTTAGCGGGCAGGTTTGGGCTTGATTGGATCCAGTTGATGAAGTTGACGGCAAGATCGCTGGTGTTGCCCCCGTTCATCTGGTTCAGAACGTCTCCGAGCTGGAAAACCATCTTGTGGTCATTGATTTCCAGTGTTTCGTTCTGGTCCGGGTAGGTGATCGAGACAGGGAATCGCATAGGCCCCATCTCCTGGTACTGGTATTGCTCGGGCGTGCTGCCTGCAAGGTACTTCGTCCTGATACGGCCGCCAATACGCTGCGAGGACTCATGGATGTGCCAGTCGTGGATGCCTACGGAGTCGAGGAGAAGACTGGTCATCAACCCCGACATGCCTCCACCAACAATGGCGATCTTTTTGCTCTTCTCGACTGCGGCATATGATGCGTTGTTTTGCTTCGCCTCCATGTAGGCCACACCGTCGAACCAAGGACCCATGGCGTCAGCCACGTCGGAGATCTCCTCTCGTTTCCTTGGTGGATGTTGGATCGAGATGGGCGCTGAGCGGCCAATCAAGTTAGAGCCTGAGTAGGCGTGAAGGCATCCGCCGTGGACAGCATCATCCGGTACGATCCAGACGAACCGCTCGGGACGACTTGATCGCTTGATGTAGTGGGATGCCACGTCGTGGTGACCGTCGGCGTGGCTCTTCATGCCGCATTCGCCATACACCAAACGAATCTCGCCCTCGAAGTCATCGTCTCCATAGCCGACATGGACGTTGTGTACCGAGTTGGATGTGACAGCCAGGGGCTTGAAAAACACAACCTCCGATCGAGGAGCAACTGGGCTGGCGATAGCACCACCAGCCAAAGACAGGGCAGCCGAAGAGGCTGTGAAAAGACCCTTCATTGTGGTGTGAAGAAGAGATGGATGTGATGAGGAGTGTGAGATGAAGGGAAAGATGCCCTGCTCATATACGGATCTACATGCATGACCACAGCGGGCAGTACTGCACAAGCTTACACCTTCTTTCGCATTCCCGTTGGTCACCAAGCCTTATCGTCGTAGGGCGTGCCTATGATCATCGGAAGTTGTCGTTGCGACGGACCGTTTGCCGTTGGCCTAACAAAAATTCTATGCATTCGGCCGCGATAAGGACTACAAGGCGTCGACATGCGCGACTTCTACAAGACTTTTCGCAAGTAAGATGGGGTACGCGACACGCCCAAATGCCTGTTACAGTTGACCCGCAGTATACCCTCGAAGCGAGGTGCAGTAGCGCTATGCAGTACGGGTGATAGTGTGGAGATTCAGCTTACGGAAGAGATGGTATTGTGGACTGAGGTTCCTACCGACGACAAGATAACCCACATCGGATAAGACAGGAGTCTCGGCTTAGCTACGACCGTCATTCCGAGCGATCTCGGCTCTGATACCAGCGCTGCCTATGCAACTTCACGATGCTACCTTGAACCATCCAATGCGGTTCCCCTCGACACCAGACATCATGGACCGCCAGGTCATTCGAACAAGCACGAAGGACGCAACTCTCACAAAACATGCCTCTAGATGAAGGCTACATAACCCATCGACTGCGTTATTGCGAAGGTGACACAGAAGCGGGGTGCGTGCGATGATGTGCATGTTCGTCCAGCGCGACCCTACAACGCACTGAACGCGTCCATGTGGGGCTTAGCTACCAGCATGAGTCGGACACAAGATATGTCAAAAACGTGGCATAGAACTTCGTCCGGTAACAATGCCAAAACTCCGCAAGGAAAGGCTTGTCCTTCACGGAGGGAAGTTCAGACAGGGGTCTAGATCCTCTCGGCAAATGAGCGGCAAGCCATGGATACCCCAGGTGGAGCCACGATTGCGATAACGCGCAACGGCTGGCCTAAACCCCGATTCTTATCTCAACACCCTGCAGCCTTTATCTCACGTTACGTCAGGACGAATGCGCGCTTCACAGTGCGCGTTAAACGCAGGATACAAATGCAGAGATATCTCGGCGCCCAGGCGAACTACATCTTCGACGGCCCTTCTCGCGATAGCTTAGCTGACCTTCGCTCCACCTCGCCACAAGTGCTATCCTCCTTCCTTTTCTAGTGCGTGCTGGATAACTACGCGATTTTGAACCCCACGATGGCGCCGAAACAGTTGCGCGAGGCCCTGCCAACCTGAGTGTAGTACAGGTAGTACAGTTCCTGGTGGACATTCCGGTACCTTGGAGCCGGCGGCGGACCGTTAACCATTACAAACGGGTCTGACTGTATCGCGGATCCTCAGCCGTGGCTGGAATCCAACAATACTGGCTGCATGTCGGAGTAGCATTGGCAACGAGCTTTACCTGGTACATGGACACTCGCAGCTCTTGGAAGCCATGGCATTCGGTACAACGCGGGCGGTCAGACTTGACCGAACACGAAAGAGTCGGGAGATGATGATCCGCGAGCATTGCCAACTCTTATAAGACTGTATAGGGCCAACGATATCGGAATACTCATATTATCATACTCGTGCTTCTACGTTCATAACCTCGCAGAACTCAATCGCTGTAGTTCATTCATCATGGTCTCTTTCACCTCCATTGTCACTACTTTCCTCGCCGTTACTGGTGCCGTAGTTGCCAAGCCAACACCAAAGCTCGCTGAGCAACCGGTCGTGACCTATCTTGGTACCCAAGGACCCATTCTCTGTATGCTACCAGCCGATGTCTGATGACTGCGTGCTAATTACTGTCAAGCGAGCGGCGCATGGACATCAAAGGGCATAGTCTACACTTCAGGAACCGTCCCTTCGTTCAATGGATCGATTGTAGCAGGCGGCATTGAAGCTCAAACGGTACATGAGTCGCGTTCAGCTTCATCAAGGACTCATACTCACGCAATACAGGCTCAAGTCATCAAGAACATTGCAGTCATCCTCGAAGAAGCCGGCACATCATGGGACTACGTTATGAAAACCACCGTCTTCCTTGCCAACATGTCGGATTACAGTGCGATGAACGAGGTGTATGCTGCTATGCTGCCCACTCCCAAGCCAGCCCGCACGG